GGATAGTTCCTAGTAACTGGTGAAAACAGCAGTCAACAGATGCAGGGCTCAAATATAGATTCGTTGGTGGAACCCTGAGCAAAGCTGAGGAATATTTAGATGTTGTTCGTTTCATTAACTACTAATTGGAGTGGAAGTTATGTTTTTAATTTGGAAGTTTAATGAACATCTAGAAAAACATTTAGAAAAGAAGAAGTTTCTGAGTTGGAAGAAATTTTTTTAGTTGAAAAACGACTACAGCTGTTTTTTTATATCATTTTTAGAAATGAATAGACAAAAAAAAAAGTTAAGTTGAAATCACTTCTTTGCTATGTCTGTGAGCAGTGATGATAATTTTTTTTTGTATACTTTTGGTAATATTCTTTGATATATTTTTTTTTGTAATTTCTTGTTTCTTTTTCTCTTTTTGTAATGTTTTGGTATTATTAAAGTTTTAAAAAGACTGGATGAACAATGGCATCCTTTATCGGATGGACACTGCTGTATCTTCCTGACCGCTCGCGATTAATTGGGTCGTTATTCTGAAGTAATGTGGATGATAAAGTGTAGTCAACAAGTGGCAACATTAATACTTGAAGTAAAAATCATTTCGTGAACGGTTTATTACAGATAACGTTGTTTTGTAGTAGAAGTTTCACGTGTATTATTGCAGGTATTACTTTTTGTTGTCTTATGGTGATTTTTTTTTTGTTGTTGTTTTGCAGGGAAACAGGTCTCTAAAATCATTTTTCTGTAGTTCTTTAAAATTAGTGTTTAGTAATGATGCCCTTGAATGCAGAAGAAACATCTTAGAAAGAGTACACCACTGTGGGAATATATAATTAGTGAAGAACATCACTGACTATTACCATTGGATATAGATGTTTAAAATTAAAGGTATAAGCAAGTTTTCCATGGATTTTAATGGATGGAGGCATGTGTGTCGCCATAATAAACTACATTTATATGGCACTTTAGCACTAGTTTTCCAGCAGTAATAATGTAACCGACAGATTGGACTCGCAGGAAACTGTGGATTTCCGCCATATTTTCGTTTGCTCAACTCAAATAGTTTTATTTTCTTGTCACATTTGGGTGCTTGTCAGTACCTTTAAATATGATACGATAAAAGTAAACATGTGGCTTAAGGTAGAATTTTCTTCTTGTCATTATGCGCTATTACTTCTACGGCAAATATCACTTGTGCATGAAAATCTGGAATGACGGTATTTTTTTTTGCAAAAACTAAACTTAACTTTCGTAAACTTTTTACATCGCAGCAGATTTTGGCTAAATTTTTCCGCCAACAAAGCACACAATTTACAGCGAGATTACAGGGAAAATAGTACAGCTTTTATCTGCTTGCAATATACATGTGTTATGGTTTCTATGGTTATGAGATAGCATTCAAAGGATAACTGACTTTAAACCTTTCTATTCTACGTGGATTTATTCAATTTGTTTTTCAAATGTTTTATATACCGCTGTTGACGCGTTCCAATTGCTTATTATTACAAAAACGATCATACTGTTGAGAAGTTCAGAACTGATCAAATTTGTAATGGAATATTTTGTCAAAGAAATTTGTTTCTGGTCAAAATGCAAGTGTTATTTTCATGCGCTTCAGTAAATTTTTGGTTACCAAAGAAGACATAAAATCGGGGTTTTACCTATCGCTACTGCAACATGTGAAAAGACGATAGGTGTTAATTGAACGGCATTTGCAAACAGCTTACAGCAGAATCTCTGGTTAAACTGGGTAGAACAGCATACTTTGTTGTATAACGAATTTAGCTCTATTTTAAAAGGTTCTGTGCAAACAAAGTATGTATTGTATAAAGATGCTTCTTCTTTTGTCGAAAAGACTAACGGAGCAACATCTGATAAGAAAAACAGCTAGTCCCAACAAACTTCAGAACGAAAGTGTTCTTGCAGACACTATGAAAAAAGAAAAATAGCAAGGAAGTATTCTTTGCACATTTTGAATGCTGTTGATAGTGATAACACACGTTTTAGGCTTGTAATCAGATATAATTTTGTCATGGTTTTTGGGTAATTTTAAACCAAACGTTGTGCTAATCAGTTTTCTGCGAAACTGAGGAGTTACAAAAGTACTTTCTCAAAAGACACGTGCGAACGAAAATGTTGTAGAGAGGTGGCGCTTTCAGCTTCAGTTTTTTCTGAATAAAAGTTATTTTGTTTAGAATCAAATGCTCTTTCTAGAAATAGAACGATGCGATTAGTTGTTCTGCATGGTTAAGCAAGCGTAATTTAAAAGGATACTAGACCAGTTCAAGGACTTAATTTTATCTTGTCATTTTTATGATTTTGCTTTTTTTTTTTTCTAACATTTCAGTGCGATGATGGGATTTTGTGACATTTATGCTTTTTCAGCAGCATAGCAGAAAAAGTGGCAAAAATAAGTTTAAAAATTTTTTCTACTTTCTTTTTTTTCTGTTGTTGCTGCAAAAATAGCTGGTAGAGAACTTTTGAACACTTCTTTTATTGTAGTGATAAATTTTTGTTTGAAACATAGTGGTTGTAGAAATCGTTTTTAGGAAGGAATATTTAAATATTGGTAACTTAGCTGAAGACAAGAAACATTACAGTTACAACAAGCATCAAACTTTTGCAGTACACTGTTTTAAGAGTGATTAAAACTGCTAATATTTAATCACCTTTTTTTTGTTGTATATCACCGAAGAAGTTCTGTGGCAGTCTATAAACCCTTTAATTCAGTAATTTCTCTGATTTAAATACCGATACTGTGCTGAAGATCACAGTAGAACGGAGTGAGGAAAATGTGAAATAAAACAAAAAGTTTTGCAACAGAAACAACTGTAACTTTCTCAGGTAAATTCTCTCATCTGTTAAATTTTCACAATTTGATTAGCCTTTTTTATTCGATGTATATTTTGTTTCAAAATGGTAAGTATCAGAATCAACTTTTATGGTAAACATTGTTCGCTCAAAACAGCGTGCTCAAGTTCTGATCAGTTTACCGATTAAGGTTCAAAATTAATCTAGTTTTGCTTCCAAAAAGAGGAGGAAAGGGGGAAGAAATTATCTATTCAAATTAATCTACAAGGAATTGTTATTGTCAGTAAGGCAGAGTTCAACAAAAAGAAAAAGGAACTCCAATAAAGTATTATTTTATAATTTGAGAACTAAAAGTACTCATATTTGGCTTGACAAAACAAGGTTTTGTTGTTCAACTTGTCAACTGTCAGTCGGTACAGGTAAGTCTTAAGAACTATTGCTAACCTGATGAGCATTACTGCAGTACCGTTAAGTGGAATTTATTGCTGCCAATTTTTTTTACAGTTCACTGAGGTTATACATCGTCGACGTTGAAAAATGTGAAAATTTTCTCACAAGTTTTGGCATTTTTGCAGATAAAATTTTACAAAAAAGTCAATTTGGAGAAAAATAATCTAAAACTTAAAAAGTTACACATTCAAAAGGCGCGACAGTTGTAAAGAATATACTTGATCTTTTTTTTT